AGCCACAGCGCCACTTCCAGCTTTTTTCTTTTTGCTTATGTGGTGCTGAGGAATTGAACCCAGGGCCTCAGGCATGCAAGGCAAGTGCTCTACCACTGAACCAACTTCCCAGCCCCTCCAGGTATATTTTAGATATGAGACCTTTGTCCGTTGTATGGCTAGTGAAGATCTTCTCCCAATCTGTGGTTTTCCTATTGATCTTGCTAGCTATGTCCTTTGCCATGTAGAAGCTCTGCAATTTTATGCAATCCCATTTGCCCAACCTTTCTTTGACTTGTTGTGTTTCTGGGGCTCTATTAAGAAAATTTTGGCCTGTGCCAAGGATTCTTGGGCATAATTTATCATTTTGTATTTTTATTTTTCTTTTTGCCAGTCGTGAGGTCTGAACTCTGGGGCTGGACACTGACCCTCAGCTCTTAAGCTCAAGGCTAGCGCTCTACCACTTGAGCCACAGTACCACTTCCAGCATTTTCTGCTTAGGTGGTGCTGAGGAATCGAACCCAGGGCCTCATACATGCAAGGCAAGCTCTCTACCACTGAGCCACCTTCCCAGCCCCTGGGCTATAATTTATATACTGTTCTTATAACGACTTTTAAAGGCGACAGAGAGTAGATTTTTTTTGTTTGTTTATTCTTGGTCAATTATGGGGCTCGAACTTGGGGCCTGGGAGCTGTCTCAGAGCTCTTTTTGCTCAAGACTAGTGCTCTACCACTTTGAGCCACAGCTCCACTTCCAGTTTTCTGGTGGTGAATTGGAGGTAAGAGTCTCATGGACTTTTCTTCCCTGGGCTTCCGACTGCCATTCTCAGATCTTAGTCTCCTGAGAAGCTAGGATAACAGGCATGAGCCACCAGCACCTGGTGAAGAGTAGATACTTTTTTTTTTTTGGATCGGTCATGGGGCTTGAACTCTGGGCCTGGGTGCTGTCCCTCAGCTCTTCAGCTTAAGGTCTTCCTTCCTTCCTTCCTTCCTCCCTTCCTCCCTCCCTCCCTCCTCCCTCCCTCCTTTCTCATATCCCCTCTTTTCCTCTTTTTTTCAGTAATAAGAATTGAACTCTATCTCCCTTGAAAACTCTACTATTTTGAGGTACACTCCCAGTCTTTTTGATTTTAGTTTGTATTTCAGGTAGAGTTTGGTTAACTTGCCTCTCCTGGACTCAGACTGGTTCCCTCTACTTCCTGACTAGTTGAGAGTACAAGCCAGTCATTCCTAGCTCTTGTCTTTTCTGTATGTTGGCATTCTCAATTAAAAAAAAATTCTTAGTCTATTTTGATCTGTGATAATTCAGTCTGTTTCTCTTTCTGCTTCTCTCCTTCTTTCCCTTCCTATCTCTTCCTCTCTCCTTCCCTCCTTCCTTCCCTTCCTCTTTCTCTCCCTCCCATACTCCCTCAACCTTGGGGATAATCAATGAGATAATTTCCCTGTGTCATAATTTCATGATCCGTGGTGTGAATTCTCTTCCTTACATGGAGACCTCAGTCCTATCTAAAGCATAATGAAATTTTGAGGATTAGATGAGAACATTCATAAAGTACTTTGTACTCATTGGAGGCAGAAACTATATAAATGTAGATCATGATTCCAATTGTTTTGTAAGGATAAAACAAAAGAGACTGGTTCATGATGATTTAGAGATTAAAAAGATTAAACTACAGTAGTTAAAACCAATTGTTACTGATATTTCCTTTTTTGTAAACTAATTAAAAAAATCCCGGTATGTTTTTGTATCAAACCATATTAATTTTAACAGAACATTGACCATTTCATAAAGAAGCCATTTTGGCCATCATTAATTCTGAATCTTACTGGTCAACCAGTAACATGCCTGAATCTTCCCTCATAGTCCTTGGGGGATTGTGAGAGTGGACAGATGTCCATCCATGGCTGACCTGCAGACAAGTTCACCTCAGAATTCTAATAGTCCTGTAAATGGGACACAGGTGGATATGAAATTCTTGAGGAAGGATTCCTATTGGCTATGGTAACTAGGCATCTGATGAAGGGACCGATAATGTGATGAAGAAAGACAAGGCTGTTCTTGCTCCAGCTACTTGTCTTTCTGGACTCATGATCTCCCTTTTCTGCAAACCTCACTTGACTGGTCCTGCCACCCTGCTTTGGCTCCTTTGGCATTCTATGCTTGCCCTATCCCAGACATTTCATGTGCTGCAGGAACTGCTAGGTTGGCCTCTGTCTTTCCACTGAGCAATTCCCATGAGCAATCACTATGTTTGGATTTTTATGGTACTTCATTGGTTTCTCAATTTCTGTAGAAATCTTTTATGAGTGTGTTATTTGGAGCAGATTAAGATATATGTAAGTGAAAGAAATGGACTACATAGGCAAATTGTGACTTTGGAGAAATGATTGCTTATTTTTAAGCATACAATAAGGATAATAGTATATTACTTATCCAGAACATAGAGCAGGGTATTTAGTTTTATATTTGAAAGTACATTATCGGGGACTGGGGTATAACTCAAGTGATAAAGCATTTTCCTAGTTTACACAGGTTCTAGAGTTCCATCTCCAGCACTGGAAAAATGAAACACACACACACACACACACACATCATTTTCATTAAAAGTAACTATGATTGCCTGGAGCGGTGGCATACACCTGTATTCTCAGTACGTAAGAAGCTGAGGTAGGAGGATGCCTATTTTAATTCTAGCCAGGCATCATAGCAAAACCCTGTCTCAAAAGATATGGTTACTTTTATTGATTTTATATCACAGTGTAGCTACTTCCTGTAGATAGTTCCATGGTCAGTGTTAAATAACATCAGGTTTTTGACTCACTCTTTGCTTCCCTGTGGTTCTTTGGGAAAGCACAGTGTAGACAGAATTTTCTTCTCTACAATAAGACATTTACTAACCATAATCCCAGGCTGGAGATTATATTTAAAAATACTCAGATGTGAAGTCAAAAGATGTAACATAAAGAAATTTCTGCAGAGCTGTGCAAATCTGACTTTAAACTTCAGGTTCAGGGCAGCCTTTCCAAAGATCAGCCATTATCATTGAGTATTTCTCTAACAGTGTGTATTTTTTTTTTTTTGTATCACTTTCTTTCTCCAGAGCCAGCTTGCTTGAATCTTCTCCCAAGTCAATTCCACATTGATTACCCAACCTCTGTAATCCACTTTTTTTATCTCTGAAGGAATGACTTTATCTTGTGGCTCAGGTTTTATTATTCAATAGCCAAGAAGAAAGGACAATTGAGCCATTGATTTCTTTTCCTTTGGAATGACCAGTCCTTCATCAATATAGGTTATGCAATTTGTACAGGCTAGGAGTGTCACTTAGGAAATGTTTCTCTCTAAGTTAATTTATTTCAAGTAATGTCGAAACTGTTCCAAGGTAAATCAAATCTTTTTATTTATCTATTCAACAAGTATTCATTGTTCATATCCTCTGATAGTACTTGGGCCAGGTGATAGGGAGAGCGGAAACCTAAAGTCTCATTAACCCTGACAGTAAAACTTCCTTTTTTTGTAACAAAACAAAACAACATGATAACAAAAGAGCAAATCCCAAGTTTGCTATAAGTGGCTCTGTTTTATTTTTTTCAGAATGTTTGGAAAAAATATCACTTTAATATATTGAAAGAACATCTGGATCAAAATGCTCCTTATTACAGGGTGGATCATTTCTGAAAAATATTGAGAAATATAAATATGGTATCTCTGAAAAGAGATTAATTCATAGATGTACCTAGAAGTTTAGTGATTCTTGTGGTATGTTCACCACTCAATGCTTCCTTTCCTCCTCCATACTTTAAGCATGCCTGGTAATGATTTATTCGAATATTGCTTCAGAATAAATTCTCTCTTTCTCTTTCCCTCCCTCCCTTCCTCCCTCCCTTCCATCTTTCTTTTCCCTCCATCCATCTCTCCCTCTCTCCCTTCCCTCATTCCTTCTTTCCTTTCTTTCATTCTTTGCCGGTACTGAAGTTTGAATTTAGAGTCTTATTGTTGCTTGGCTTGCTTGCTCAAATGGTATCCTATCAGTTTTTTGTTGTTTATTTTGAAGATGGTGTCTCACAGACTTTTCAATCTCGGATGGCTTTGAACCATGATCGTCCAGGTCTCAGCTGTCCCAGTTGCTAGGTTGCAGGCTTGAACCACTTATACCTGGCTTTGTTGCTTGTATGGACAAGTTTCAACTATAGTCCAGATTGACCATGTTCTTAAAATCCTCCTGCTTCAGCTTTCTGAGTGCTGGGATTGCTGGGATTACAGGCTTGACTCACTAAATTCTACTTAGGACTATATTTTTTGTTAAAAAAGAACAAAAAGCATTTCTATCTATTTACAATAGGATTCTATTTTCATCATTTTGGAAAATGATATCTGTTGAGGGGAAAATACTAAATTGTATCTTGCCAAAGTGTCAGAGACATGACAGATTCTTAACAAAGAGTTAATTTTGTCCTAAGTTTTACATTTCCCAAGAATATAGAATTTCAGCATAAAAGATGCCAGTTTTCAGACATAACAATAACAAGATGCAAGTAACACAGGATGTATCAACTGTGCTGCATGCTTTGCATTCAGTTATAATTCTCTTCTCATGAAGAGAATTCTCTTCTCATGAGAGAAGTCCCATCACTGTCTCCTCTGTCTAGAAGTAGAAGCTAATACTTGAAAGGTAAAGCCTGTCCAAGACCACACAGGTAGTGACAGAAGATGAGCTTCTGTTTTCCATTGCAGAAGACTATGCCAAACCATAGAGCTGTATTTTTCTACCAAGCTCAAGCGGGACTTCTTTGTATAATAGATTGTTCAGAGACTTAGCTTGCCTTCATTTTAATAGGACAATTATTATTTTATTTTTGGTGGTACTGGTCGATTTGAACTTAGGGCCTTTGCTTCTTAGACAAGCTCTTTACCATATAAACCATGTCTTTGTTTAGATCAGGTCTCATATTCCCCGCTCCCCCACCCCCAGAGCTTGGATCACTAGTTTCAGATAGTGATCATCTTTTTCTAAATCTCCCTGATAGCTGGGATTGCAGGCATATACCATTCCACTCAGCCTTTTTGATTTCAGAAATTCTAATATCTTCCACTTTCTGTGGCTGTTGTGATTTCCCAGGTATTCCATAAATAACTATATTATATACTATCTACATTTAAAAAATGTTTTTTTTCCTCCCTGTATACCTAAAGTTGTGTCCCTGTCAGCAAACCAAGTGCCCTCCTTGGAGGGCAAGGATATGTTGGGTCATTCTGGAAGAGGTGAACTGTGATAGGATCTACAGATAGTGTTTTTCTCACTAACTATTTAAATGTATTGATATTTAGTTCTGCGTGGGGGTCCTCTCACTGGAAACTATAGGTTACGACAGTTCCATCTTCACTGGGGGTCCAATGATGATCATGGCTCGGAGCATGTGGTGGACGGCATGAGGTATGCTGCAGAGGTAAGTCATCAGATTGACAGTCCTGAAGTGGTGGGATTGAAACAACCCAGAGATGACTATCTGGACCTCTCTAGACCCTGCCAGTTAGGTGTGTATGTATATAAGATTGCTGCATTCATTCAGCTTCAAAAGAGGCCCTTCTAAGATTTAAACCAACTTTGAGAGCTAAGTAAGGGTGTGTGTTCTCCTTTTAGAAATGAACAAATTGGAGACTTGGAGAGATTAATTTTTTTTATGCAGCTGGGAAATGTTGTGATTTTTTTTTTTTTTTTTGGTCAGTCATGGGGCCTGAACTCTGGGCCTGGACGCTGTCCCTCAGCTCTTCAGCTCAAGGCTAGCACTCTACCATAGCACCACTTCCAGTTTTTTCTGCTTATGTAGAGCTGAGGAATCAAATCCAGGGCCTCATGCATGCAAGGTCAGCACTCTACCACTGAGCCACTTTCCTAGCCCTAAACCAGGTCTTCTTAATGGTAAATTACTAATACCTGTTGTTATCTCTTGAAAGACCAATGCAAAGGGAAGGAAAGAAAACTTTTGTCTTTGGTTCAACTGTTTACATATTTGATCCAGACACAAATATATGCAAATATGTACAGCCTACATCAAATATGGCAAAGTTCTACTTAGGAAAAAATATAAAGGCATACACTTTCCTAAACTTTATGTTATCTCTACATTTGCAGGTACAAGATAGAACTTTGGTTAATTATTCAGGTCATTGGGAAATGACATCAAATGACATTAAAAAATAAAATGTTCATTTATTTATTTTGCACTGGAAAGTTACTTTTTTATTCTAATTGTATTCATTAATATTACTCTAATTTTTAATCCTCTGGTGAAAAGAAGAAGCATAATATACTCTAACTTTTAATATGATTAAAACATTTAACACCCAGATGTAGCATGAGATGAAAGCGAATATTTGCATGACTCAATCAAAATTACTCCAGGAAAAACTGACTTGGTTTCTGTGTTATATAAGTCCAATACAGCAGAGCTCCTGGACAAATACATTACAAAATCTTCTTCATTTTTTCTTGGCTACTGAGCTGTGGCAGCCTAAATGTTCAGGAAAATCCAGAAAACAGAACTTCCTTCTAGTTTCATTCCTTTAACACCCAATCTGCAATTTGAGCTGTATCCAAATGTTCATTTTGCCAACTAGATTGCTTTTGTGTGAAGCCAAATGCTTGAGGTTATGAGGCCTGCTTTGTCTTCAGGTAGAAGAATAATGTGTACATGTGAAGTGTTCATTCTATGTTGGTAGAAGATACTTAAAAAGCAGAATTACAGTATCTTATGTGGTGTCTCGGTTTAGATTCTCTACTGGGCGATTTACATGTTTGCTTTCTAAAGCTTTGCCTTCCCGATTTAAAAGTTGTTCTAAATCTCAAAAGAATCTAAGAGATTAAAAGCTGGCTGCTTTGGGTCACTCATTTCTAGGTTTCCATAGAAACTCAGAGCATGTGAGTCTAGGGAGGAGTGGGCTGCAAAAAACAATTAACTCTTGTTCTGGGCAAAGCTAAGTTGGAGAAACCTGTTACTCATTCTAGTATCATGCTGAGTACATTGTAGATACAAACCTGGAGTTTAATGAAGAGAACAGGGATAGAGATGGTGGCAAGTGGACATCACTTACATTTGAGTTTCAGGTTTATAAAAAAGAAGTATCTGTATGAACTCTAGAAGTGATTCCAAGATGTTTAGATTTTACTTAAGTTCATGACTGTTGAGTTATGTCTTCTGATAAAATAGACCAAAAATAGCTATTTAGAGGTGCATACCGAGTTTTATTTAGGACCTAATACGATGGCTTTTGCTACTAAAGAGAGAGCTAATGAAAATTTATTCCTAAAGTTACATATTCATATAAACTATACTAATAACTTGCTCTATATCTGGAACTTTATCTGAATATAGTTCATCTTTTCTGGGGACATTAGATTTTGAATGTGCCCAAGGTGGTGGTATTGGGAGTTGGTGGGACCTTTATTACATGGCTCCTTGTGGGAGGTCTTTAGATCACTGATGGTGTGACCTTACAGGGAGAGTGGGGCAATAGCTCTTCCTTTTGCTCTTTATTGTTTCCTGGCATTAAGGTGTGCGGTTTAGCTACACCCAGTAATCTAACCATGGCATTGCCTCACCAGTGCCCCCAAACAAGTGACCAATGACCACGGTCCTTCAAAACTGTGCCAAGACAAATATTTTCTCTAACTTGATTCCTTCGGGTCAGATGGAAAGTTGACACACCATATACTGTAAACACATTAAATATGTAGTTAATTGGGAAATAATTTCTACATTTATGGCAGGGTGTTTTCAACTTAGTGTCTCTTGGTATTTTATATGTAAGCAATTGAAAAATGCTGACATTGGATAGTGTAATTTTGAAATTGTTTTCCTAGATGGAAAATCATATTTCCATTTCTTTTGCAGTGACTACAACACCTTGTCATTCAGCTCAAATCACTGCTGCAGTTATTGTTAGCCAGGAAACTCAAGATTGCTACTCTGTGTTTTAATTTAAATACAGGTGTTAATAAAAAAAAGTAGTATCAAGTTCTTTGGGGAAGACAGGGCTATCACTCAAGCAAATTATGTGGGAGACAGGACTGAGTTATTCTTTAAAAACAACAACAACAACAACATTAATTCCTTGTTGTTGTTTCCCATCTTATTTCAAGTTGTTTTTCATTTAGCAGAAGGGTGGTTGTGTATAGAAGAAATATACTTCTATTTTCTAACAGTGATGATTGTGGCCCTTTGATGTGGTTTCTCACTAAGTGAGTGAGTTGTTTTGATTGGCCTGGAGCCCTTGGACTTGACTGGAGCCCTCTATATCCTCTATCTGCTGTGAGCCACATCAAGTTCGTTTCATCATCCAGTGTTTATAGTTTCCTTCCTCCCCAACTATCCCACAGCCACAGGGAACAGGATGACAAGACAGGAATCCACCTTTGTATTTTCTGTCTGATTATCTAGCCATCTCCTTGCTTGTGTGTGAATAGTGTACTATCGCACACCTGTATAACTGACTCTTTATGACAGTCGTTATCTCTTCAGAAATCCCTTCAATGTTAGTTGCTTGTAAGATTTGGAGTTATATATGAAAGAGGGAATCAAAATAGGTAAGCGAAAGACACCACATTTCTTTATAATAATCAGGCAGGAAATAGGGACATGAAGGCTACATGAATGTTAGAAGGAGTCCTGAATGTTCCCTTTCTGTAGGCCATAACTTTTATCAGACACCTGGACAGTATGGCCTGCTCTTCAGAGTTTATGACCCTAACTAAATCTTTCTGGGTGTGGCATGTTGCCCTTTGACTTCTCAGTTTGTGCTTCTCTTAACCGGGACTGAAAAATGTAGTTTTCTACATTTCTACTGTGTAGAAAACTACACAGTCTCTCATATTTTTGTGTATGTTTTGGATACTGCAGTGCTTTACAGAATAGGAAATTCAAGTTTCCTTGGGGCCACTTGCCTGAGAGCAGAGTTGTGAAGTAAGGGAAATACGTTCTCTGGAGTTCCTTGTCCCTTGAAATCCTCTTCTCACCTACCTGCCCACCCTTTTCACCTCCAGTTCCTAGACCCACAGCTTCATTTCCCAGAAAAGAAAACGAAGATATTTATATAGGGTTATAAATGCATAAAAAGTAAGTAAGCCAGGAATTGGTGGCTCACACCTGTAATCCTAGCTACTCAGCAGGCTGAGATCTGAGGATTGTTGTTAGAAGCCAGCCTGGGCAGGAAAGTTCATAAGACTTTTGCCTCCAATTAACTACCAAAAAACCAGAAATGGCCCTGTGGCTCCAAGTAGTAGAACACAAGCTTTGAGCCAAAAGCTCAGGGACAGAGCCTAGGCCCTGAGTTCAGGCCCCAGGAGTGGCACGCACACACATAAAAAGCAAGTTGCTGGATATGTCAGCTTGATATAATTTTTTTACATTCTATAATTACATAAAAAATTACATTATTTGTAATCTAATAACAAGAAGGTGTGTATACTTCTTAAATACTTTCTCATAAGGGAAGTTTTGTCTTTTGAAGCCATTAAGTATGAAAACTGAGCCAAGTATGGTGGCACACACCCATTCCCCATACTGAAGAGCCTGCATTAGGAGGACCATGAATTTGAGAACAATATGGGTTGCACGGTGAGTCTCAGGCCAGCCTGAGCCAAATAATGAGCTCCTGTATCAACAAACAAACAAGCATGTAATAAACATCTGACTGGACACTTTCAAGATCATTTCATTGTACTTAACAACAGGATGGTCCCTAAAGACTGATGGTGTAGGAAATTGACATCTCTAGCCTATGCAGCCCAGCTTCCTCCAAGTGCTCAAGTGAGCAGTGGGATCTGATCTAGGACTGCTCTGTTGCAATTTCCTCAAAGGCCCAGAGGCACCCCCAAATCAGTTGAGTAGGAGTTGGCTGGGGCTGCAACTGGGAAGAATGAACAAGGTATTGTAGTCTTTTAAATAAAATACTATAGGTCATTGACCATGATGCTTCCTGTTTGACCTTTAGTTTTGAATAAAACAGGATGGTGCCAAAGATTTTCATGAAGAATACATCATACATATGAGTGGACAGCATCAAATATCAATAGCCATGTTGTATTTGCATTTATATTTTCTTTCTTTTTTTGTATATGTTTTTTATTGTAAAAATACTGGACAAAGGGGTTTCAGTTACATGAGCAAGGTAATGAGTACATTTCCTATTGAGCATTGTTGCCTCCTCCTTTGTTTTTCCCCTACCATCCCTTCCCTCCCACCTCCACAACTACCCCCCTGCATTATGTTTTCTAGGAGGTTGAAACAAACATTTGAATGATATTATGTCCCTCTTTTTTAGCTTCATGTTGTCCATTGGAATTCAGACAAATACCCCAGCTTTGTAGAGGCAGCTCATGCGCCAGATGGACTAGCTGTCCTGGGAGTGTTTTTAAAGGTAAGAATCCACTGAGTTCTTGTTAAATGATCAGCTATATTGAACAAAGAGTTTCAGTCATGTAGTACCTATTATTTGAGTAATTTTTTAATAATAAACTAGCTCTAGGTTTAGTATTTTCCTTTGAAGTGTTAAAAAGTTACATATTAACTTAGTACATAGTCTTATGATTCTTCTAGCTCTCCATTGATAATTTTTATGTGAATTTTGACGGCAATATCCATAACTAGTTTAGCAGCAGAAAGAAATCAACTGCCATCCTGAGAAGAAAACAGCCTAGCACTTTTTTTTTTTTTGGTCGGTCATTTGGCTTGAACTCTGGGCCTAGGCACTGTCCCTGAGCTCTTAAGCTTAAGGCAAGCACTCTACCACATGAGCCACAGCACCACTTCCAGTTTCCTGGTGGTTGATTGGAGACAGGGTATCATGGACTTTCCTGTCCAGGCTGGCTTTGAACCGTGATCCTCAGATCTCAGCCTCCTGAGTAGCTAGAATTACATTTGTGAGCCACTGGTGCCTGGCTCCTATGCACCTTTTGATTCCTGATATATATTCAGCTATACAGAGCAGCAAAGGGTTTAAGCTCAAGATTATTTTTTAATTTTTTGATTGTTGTTATGTGCCCATGCTGGGGTTTGAACTCGGGGTCTTAGCAGTGTCCCCTAGCTTTTTTGCTTATGGCTGGCACTACCAGTTGAGCCATAGCTCCACTTCTGGCTTTTTTTTTTTTGGGTCCGGTCGTGGGGCCTGAACTCTGGACCTGGGCACTGTCCCTCAGCTCTTCAGTTCAAGGCTAGCGCTCTACCACTTGAGCCACAGCATCACTTCCGGCTTTTTTCTTATGTGGTGTTGAGGAATTAAACCCAGGGCCTGGAGCATGCAAGGCAAGTGCTCTACCACTGAGCCACCTTCCCAGCCCTCCACTTCTGGCTTTTTTGCTACTTAAGTGGAGATAAGACTCTCAAGGACTTTCCTTCCAAGGCTAGTTTTGAACAGTGATCCTCAGATCTCAGCTTTCTAAGTATCTTGGGTTATAGGCATGAGCCACTAGTACCTGGCTCATTACTGTTGAAGCACTTGTTTGAACACAATGGCATGTTGACTCTTACCATGCTGACCAATTCTTTTAAAACACCATTGGTTCAGATCTCTGGTGTTAAATCCCACCTATATTGGAGTTGTGCATTTGTGGGTCAAGCAAGCTCTTGAACTCCTGAAATCAACATCAGGAAAACCCAGAGGCAAGAGAAATGCCTGATATAACTGTCAGGTGCTCCGTAGTGCCACTAACAAGGCCAGTAGTTAGCTGCTCAGAACTGGCCATCTAGAAACTAGCCAGAACAAGAGGTGGGGCTGAGGATTCACAGTGGTGTCCAATGCAGTATCAAAGAGAAGAAATCCCAGGCACTGCTCTTCCAGGTGATGCCATTCATTGAGACATGGCATAACTTGAGAAATAAAGAGTGTCATATTTCTTTTTGTCTAATGTTCACGAGTGCACAGAGAAGTTGTCATCACTCTGGGGAAAGGTTGGGCCTCTCAGCTCCCACTGCTACCACATTCTTGTAGGGTGTGGCATTGTCTTGCTATGCTCCATTCTCTGTGTGTGATGTTGTAACTCACAGATCTGAGGCTGGGGGAGGGATTTAAGGTGGAGGCTGGGTAGGCCATGGATAAGTTGGCCACCACCTCTGTATAGTGGCAGCTTGATCAAGTGACTACAGGTTAGTCCTTATGCATTTAAAACCAATAGTAGTCACAACACTCCTGATGCTGGTGAGTCCATGGAATATGGACTTTCTGTTTGTGATATTTTCGCTCAGTTTGGTATCTCAAAAAATTTCAGGCTGCAAGTGGAAGATGTTTTGGTCTAGTATTTACAACCACCATAGTCAGTTGTATCTTGGGTCTGAATGTTGTGTGTAGCTTCATAGTGAAGGAATTCTGTTAGAATGTCCTTAGCAAGGTTTGTCTCAAGTAAAACATTCAGAAGACAAAAACAAATGGGAAGCTGTCATTACCAGTTTCAAAACCAAATTGAAAGTTGAGTACAGGAATCCTGTCCTGTCAACTTGTTCTTATTACTCTGGCATGATCACTCTCTCAGGTAGAAAAGAAGCTTTGTTCTAGATCAACAAGTGTTTGTTTTGTGCTGGCTTAGAGTTTTTTTTAAGACAACAATGACAAAATAGTGAGTGAAATGGAATGACACAGACTGGATTTGCTACCATAACCATTTCTTTTGAAATTTCATGTTTTTAGACTGGTGAACACAACCCTCAGCTACAAAAGGTTACTGACATTTTGGATTCTATTAAAGAAAAGGTAAAATGAGCTCCTATTTGCTGATGACTAATATCTTCCTTTCCTCCTAAAGTCTTTGGTCCTTGTATAAAGACTTACAGTGTGGGTATAGCAAGTATTTGTTGCTTTGATGAATGTAGGCAGCATATTTCAACAAAGGAGAAGTCACTTACCTTTTGAAAATTATGAAGGATCTGATAATATCTTGATAATTACTAATAAATGTATTCATGTAGAATTACTGTCTGCTTTATAGGTTGTTTTTTTTTTTTTTGGTCATGAGGCCTGAACTCTGTGCCTGGACACTGTCCCTTAGCTTTTCAGCTCAAGGCTAGCTCTCTACTACTTGAGCCACAGTGCCACTTCCAGCTTTTTCTGCTTATGTGGTGCTGAGGATTCAAACCCAGGGCCTCATGCATGCAAGGCAAGCACTCTACCATTGAGCCATCTTCCCATCCTCTGCATTATAGTTTTATAGAATAAACCTTTAGGGCTGGGAAGGTGGCTCAGTGGTAGAGCGCTTGTCTTGCATGCCTGAGGCCCTGGGTTCGATTCCTCAGCACCACATAAGCAAAAAGAAAAAAGCCGGAAGTGGCACTGTGGCTCAAGTGGTAGAGCACTAGCCTTGAGCTGAAGAGCTGAGGGACAGCGCCCAGGCCCAGAGTTCAGGCCCCACGACTGGACCCCCCCAAAAAAACTCACAAAAAAACAAACCTTTAATAGCAATGAACTTAAAGACCACTGACTTATAGTAAAAATATTAAGATTTTTTTCCTTTTTCCTTTTTAAAAAAAATTCAACTCGAGTCTTATTATGTAAACTTTTCTGGCCTTGAACTCAAGCTAGTTCTCCCTCCAGCTGCCAAGGGCTGGGATTACAGGGGACTGCATGTAAACTGGCCCTCTTGCACTTCTTCAATAAATCTAGATGATGTGCTAGTTCATTTTTTCACATGAAGGCAAAGGTCACACAATTCTCTTCTCTCACTCTCGTGCTCTCTTTCTCTTTTGATTCTAGTCCTGGAGCTTGAACTCAGGTTCTGAGTGCTGTTCCTGAGCTTTTTTTTGCTCAGCATTCTTCTATTTGAGCCGCAGCTCCACTTCTGACTTTTGTTTTTGGTAGTTTAATGGCAGCAGGAGTCTCACAGACTTTCTTTTGAATGACAATCCTCAAATCTCAGCTTCCCTAGTAACTAGGATTATAGGCTTGAGCCACTGGCACCTGGCTAGATAATTCTGTTTCTTTCTTTCTTAGAGATATTGGTCCTCACACTTGTTAGGTTGGTTTTCTACCGATCAAACTGTGCCTTTAGCTCTGTTTTTCACAAATTAGTTTGGGGAATAGGGTCTTGTTCCTGCCCCAGCACATGCATGAGCTGCAATCCATCGACTGAATATTGTTTGTCATTTCTTTTTCTTTTTCTTTTTTTGTCAGTCATGGAGCTTGAACTCTGGGCCTGGGAACTGTCCCTCAGCTCTTCAGCTCAAGGCTAGAGCTCTGCCACTTGAGCCACAGTTGCACTTCCAGTTTATTGGAGATAAGAGTCTCAAGGGCTTTCCTGACCAAGCTGGCTTTGAGCCCAGATCCTCAGATCTCAGCCTCCTGAGTAGCTAGGATTACAGGTGTGAGCCACGGGACCCAGCTGCCTGTCATTTCTGAGATCACAAGTGCATGTGACTGTGTTCAACTTCCCTTACTTAGTACAGATGGAGTCTTGCAGACCCTTCCTCCTGGACTGTCCTGGCTCACCATCCTCTTGTTCTCAGGTTCCTACAGAGAGTTTGAGATGACAGACACTGTACCCTGAACTGGCCTTGAATGGTGATCCCCCCTGTTCTTGGCTTACCAAGTAGTTAGCCACTGGCACCCAGCTCAGATAATTGTTTTTAAGATACTAAAGGAAAATATTAAATAGTATCATAGTATCTCACTGGAAGAATTTTTGTCCATGTAAGATTTCATTGTAATCTGTGGCATTCACTTTGTTTTTCCAGGGTAAGCAAACTCGATTCACAAATTTTGACCCATTATCTCTACTTCCATCCTCCTGGGACTACTGGACATATCCTGGTTCTCTGACAGTTCCACCTCTTCTCGAAAGCGTCACATGGATTGTTTTAAAACAACCAATAAACATCAGCTCTCAACAGGTATGTACCTCTCCTAGGTACTTCCATCCCTACTCCCTACTAGTTATTTTGGAAATGAAATCTAGCAAACCTTTTTGCCCTGGCTAGTCTTACACTGGGATCCTGCAGGCCTCAGTTTCTTTACTAGTTAGGATTATAGGTGTGAGCCACCAGTCCCCAGATCATTATTCTATTTTCATATATGCTATCTATGAATAAATGACTCTGACCATAGTCATCCTCCTTCATCCTTTCTGTTCACCCGCCCCACTTTTGCTAAGACGAATCCCCCACAGAGCCGGCTTTACTTTCCTGTCATTTTTCTTTTCTAGTGTGCATTAAAATGTCTACTCTGAATTGTTTTTTCCCTCTCAAGTGCTTGCCACCTCCATAGTCATCAGGTCCTCCAGAGTTGTCCCCTTACCAGAGTTCTAGTTGGGTATTTGCAGCTTCCTACAGGATATGACAGTTTCTGCAACCAAAGACACAACTGACCTGTGGGAAAAAATAGAATCAAATAAAATTCTGACTCCTTTACTAAAAGATAGATAGATAGAAAGATAATTAGCACTATAAGGAATCAGCAGGAGTATTGTCTATTTTTATTTTATTTTATTTCATTTATTTATGTCTATTGTTATTTTTGCTGGTAATAAAGTACTCTTTCTTGACCCAGACTTGTCCAGTTGCCTAGCTGCTAATTGTCCACCCACTCCTCTCACAAAAGGATGGGATCACCTTTCCCTAGATCATTTCAGGCAGCATTTGCCTTTGGGGTGAACACATCCAATTTCGGTTGGGTGTTTCTTCTCATTGACCTTGTCTTTAGAATTACAGACAAATAATACCTTGATGCATAGTCATTAAAACATTTTCTTTAATGAACTTGACTGATAGTAAGACACATAATTTTTTCCCCATCATATTGTGAGAAAAATGACCTGCTACTTATTCAGTGGCCTTAGTAATGGAGTTTATTTCTGATAAATGTTTATTTTTATACTCTTTCATTAAGTTTCAATAGCTTAATAATGTGTTAATTATATCATCAAAGTGGTAATGGTTAGAAGATCCTGTTTCCTTCAAATTTCAGGGGTGTCTTTATTCATTAAGTCCACTTAGGAAATAAAGTTGAGTTGTTGGTGCTAGTTTTCTTTAATCCACCAGTGATTTGGAGGAAAGTATATAAAAATCTATGATTTAATTAATTTAAAAGAATAAAATTGGCTGGGCACCAGTGGCTTATGCCTATAATCTTAGCTATTCAGGAAGTTGAGATTTGAGGATGCTGGTTTGAAGCCAGCCCAGGCATGAAAGCTTGTGAGGCTCTTACTAGCAATTAACACCTCCCCCCCAAAAAAAAGCCAGAAGTGGAGCTGAAGTGGTAAAGCTTTAGCTTTGAGAACAAAGGGACAGCAGCACCTAAGTTCACCTGAGTTCAAGCGCCATGACCAGCACACACATGCATGAAAATAAAATAAAGTTACTCTTATTAAAATAATTACCTGCAAGTTAGGGAATTACTACTCTTAGCTGTGGACTCATTATTGTATTTTACTTGAGCTTCATTGAATTAATATTATTAATGTGATTTTTTAAAATGCAAGATGCGTATGTAAAAGAATAACTTCATTTTGGAGCTGAAGTGTACTTGGTAACTCACTTGGAAGCATTAACTTAAATGGACGCATCAGGAACCCTTTTAGACAGATTAAGAAGGTTATTTGATAATAAATCAAGTCACTAAATTATTATTACAGTAAATAGCTTTAATTGTTAAATAATGAAACAAAAGCATTCTAAGAAATCCATTCCATGAGGAACATTTTATAACTTGCCTAATCAGAACTCCTCAGGATTAAGATCATCAAAAGCAAGCTAAATCTGAGAAAAATCACAATAAAAAATGCTTACAGAAGGGCTAGGTTTAGAAATACACTCCTGGGCTCTCCGCTACTTGGGAGGAAGAGACAAGAGGACTGTACCAGAGATTAGACCTAGACTTCATCTGAAAAACAAACTGAAAACATGGCTTAAGAGCAAGTGTGATTTCAGTTCCCAGTCCTGCCTCTCCCTCCACCAAAGAAAAGGGTCTTTTAAACAGATGTAACTACTAAGTATAATGCTGTTTCCTGTGTGGAGCTCTGTAATTAAAAAAGACATTAGGCAAAAACACAGGATACCCAAATAAAGGAAGGACTTCAGGAAATGACAGAATATTAATATTGCTTCTTTAATTATGGAAAATATAGAGTATGAATGTATGATGTGAATAATAGCAGAGACTGAGTTTGGGCCATTTAGAAAGTGAGTATCATTGCAGTAATTCATCAATATGAAAATTGATCCACAATGAAGTCCAGATTGGTAAAATTATTCCATGGTGTAGATCTTTCATATAAATTAAAATGAAAATAACTCATATCATTGATTCAAAGACTTACTTTCCCCAAGACATTTTTTCAACCCAGTTTTGGCAGCTCCTTGATTTTCTAAAGTCACTGAGAAATACTGTCTACTCATTTTTCAGTTCTATCATATGATGTTCCCTCAAGTTGAGGCTGGATTTTCATAAGGTGTTCTGTCACTGGTCCTTGCCAAGTTACTGTTTGACCTAAAGGGAAAGTCAGATGGTTTTATTTTCTTTCCCTTGATTCACATTCACTCTTTTCTCCCTCAGAATCACTCAGAGAGGGCTCAAAAATCTTATTGCACACATAAAACTATTTTTCTGATGCATTTAATAATAGATCTAATGATAGATCTGTCAATTTGGAAGGTTGACTTCACTTGGCAGATCTCTTTGGGTCATCTAAACGGATTTACTTAGTAAGCAAAATACTTAGTTTTGACTTCATTATATTAAAAAACATGCCCTTTCTTTATGCATTTGTTATGGTAACATACTATACAACTTTATGTGGTGGCTAATTGTGTTACTGCCTACAACCCTGCAAAATTACTATAGCCAAAGTATAGAATAGCTCTCCTGGCCAGAGTGTTTTCTGTGCACTTTTTCATTTTACTCCTTGCCCTCATAGGCCTGAGAAACTACTGACACACTGCCATTAGAATTTTGTCTTTTGTAGTGTTTTAATTAAATGAATCATACAGTTAATAGGTTTTTGCTTTTGACTTCTTTCACATAGCATTAATGTTTCTAAATGACCCACTTAATTCATTTTCCTACTGACTTAGAGTCTAGGTTGTGGATAAACACGTTAGGAAATCTATTCAACAGTGATGGTTATTTGGGTGGTTTACAGTTTGGGGCTATTATGAGTAGTAGTGATTCATACTTGGATATTAGGAATAATTCACATACACAGCTGTGTGCACATACTTGTGTCTTAGACCGATATCAAGGACTGGGATTACCAGGTCATACATGTTTAATTTTACAAGGAATTGCCATATTGCTTTCTAAAGTGGCTTACATTTCATTTTTAAGATTTCCAGAGGCTTCATATCCTGTTTAGCCCTTGCTATTGTCACTTTTTCTAGTTTAACAGTGTGCATTTGTCTGATAACTAGAGTTGCTGTACATTTATTCATAATGCATATTGACTCTGTATGTGTGTATGTATATATATAATTGTTTGCAAAGTATCTGCTCATATATTTACCCATCTTAAAATTGTGTTATTTGTCTTCTCAATGTTGACTTTCAGTTCTCTTTTGTAGGCTGGATAATAATTTTCTTAAAAATTCATTCAGTAAAAGGTGCCTTTCATTGTACAGTTTGCTATTATTTTTGTTACTGTGTCTTTTGAAGAAAAAAATTCTTAGGTTTTTAAAAATTAACCCACTAGGATTAAACCCAGGGCTAGTAGAGGTTAGGCAAATAGTGCTCTACCACTTAAGCTATATATACTCTTAATCTTGTACACATTGTGTTGGTCGTATTTCTGTCTCTGTGATCAAATTTCTGTTTGTCTTAGAATCTCATCATGATAGAAAGGGTGTTGTGGAACAGAACTAGTTGCCTTGTAGAGGTTGGGATATAGACAGTGTGAAAGAAGGATTTGGGGGCAAAATAGAGACTCAAGTGCCTACCTTCCAGGCCCTATTCTCTTCAACTAGCTCTCACCTCCTCAGCTGTATCACTTCCCCAATAGTTCATCAAATTATGAACCCATCAATCCATTGATTAGGTCAATCCATTGATAAGGCCAGAGCCCCAATGATCTGATCACTTCCCTAAAGCCCCACCTATGAATATTGTAGCATTGAAGGCCAGGCCTTTAACATATGAGCCTTTGGGATTTAGAGACTATGGATTTTGTTACTTTTGTCTAATAAGTATAGTTCTTTTTGTTTTAGTGGGTGATTTTCCTGAGTGGGCTAGAAGCAAAAATTCTGTCATGTGTTATAGTTGTGGCCTCATTTGGCTGGTCTTGTTGCTGTCTGTTCTCTGCCTATGTGATCACTAGGTCCGTCAGAGATGTGGATAGAGTCTGAGGAGCTTCTCTTTAGCTCTTTTCCTGCAGCAGACGGGTGCCCTTGGCAGCCTTGTGTCACGTTGCATACCACGGTACTCACTGCCAGACTAAACTCTGGAGAAGGAAGAATGCACCTGCTTTTTACTTTAATTTTTATTGCTATTATAAAGGTGATGTACAGAAGGGTTGCAAGAATTCATTTCTAAAGCTTTCATTTTTCTTTGGTCAAGCAAGCATGAACTTCTCACCTGGGTTCTGATTCTGCTTACTCCCAGTACCTGAACGAGGTTCTTGTTTCATATAATTGTTATTGCTTGTTTTGTGTAGTTGTTTTCTACAGAGAGACTGTCTGCAAGATCTCAGAACAACATACCTGGGAGCAAAATCTGAATGCCCTTTTTAATAGTAAAATGTGTGTTGTAATTCACATTAAATAATCTAGGGATATTTTTCTTTGCCTCTGTTGTTAGAATTTACTCACTTCAATATTAATTTTGATTTTTATAAAAGTCCACATAATTACTTTGAAATTTAAATTCTAAATTGTAGATTATGTATCCTATTGTATATGAGTCTAATAGTAGCATTGTTTACTATGTGTTTACTACTAATAATTTGCAAGTGCAAGAGAAATACCATAAAAATGTAGCCCAATCCAAAGAGTTTGAAGTAAAGGAGATAAAAAAAATGCATGAAAAGTAACACTGTAGACTGTGTTTGGTGCCATAGGAGAAACATGTAGGGTGATGGGACTGCAGATGATTAGAGACTAATTTTCAATGGAGAAATCTGGAAAGACTTTATGAACGATTTGCACTGGAGTTTAAAAGATGAAAAGGATTGGGGATGTAGCTCTGTGGTAGAGTGCTTGCCTAGTGTACATAAGCTATGGCTTCAGTCCATAGGGAGAGGTAAGTGGTTAAAAGGGAGCAATTGTTTGCAGATAGCTAAGTAAAGGTGAGAAATTCAAGAAGAAATAGCCTAAATAAGGATGAGAAAGGAAGAACTGAAATGATTTTGGCAGCACTGTACCTGTGAATCTGAAATTTTAGTGTGTCCCAGTTCCACTTAAGAGAAATTTATCAAAATGTGGAATGTTGGGCCTCATTAGAAAAACTCATTCAGATGTCTGGAGTGAGATCCAGTAATTTAGATTTTAAGAATCGTCCCAGTTTTTCCATTCAGATGCTCTGAGATTACCTTTCACCAAACAGGCTCACTGTGGGATTTCGTGTGAAAATGACAGGAAGATGTAGGAAGGTGAATAGGAGCAGGGTTGTGTCCATGATAACAAGTTTGTTTAGGGTGCCTATTAAGAGATATATTTTGAAATGCTTACACTGCAGTGACATGGTGTTCAGAATGTGTTTCAAAGTAATCTGGTCTGGGCAGGGTAGAAGGTGAGGACAGAATGGTTGGGAGGGACTATGGATAGCAGATCTGGGCGTGTGCTGATATTGGAGCTGGGTGCAGCCTTCATAGTGGCTTATTATACAGCTTTTTCAAATTTGGGTGTGTTGGAATGTTTCCATAATAGCAAGTGAATAAAAGGAGAATAGAGTAAAATGGAACAAAAGAAAAGTAGAAATGTAATATGCATCTGTAGTTAGTTCATGGTATATTTGTGGAACAACTTATTTATTGACACTTCCCAGCTATCCCTCATCTGTAAAGTGGGAAAATAGCATATGACTGGTAGGATTCTTTGGAGAATTAAATAATAGAATATATATCACCTAGCACAATGCCTGAGCCCCTGTGTTGTGGAAGAGAGCTTATATTTATCATTCCTCAACTTGGGTGAGCAATGGAGTGCTGCTGAAGATGGCTGAGCACAAGTATGACATAAGACAGTTTGCAGAAACTTTTGAGAAGAATATTTCCTTTTAAATTAAAAAAATTTTTTTTGTCAGTCATGGGGCTTGAACTCAGGTCCAGGGTATTGTCCTTGAGGTCTTTCTTTTTTGGGGGGGGAGGGGTTCAGTGTTGGGGGCTGAATTCTGGGCCTGGGCGCTGTCCCTCAGCTCTTCAGCTCAAGGCTAGCACTCTACCACTTGAGCCACAGCGCCACTTCCGGCTTTTTCTTTTTGCTTATGTGGTGCTGAGGAATCAAACCCAGGGCCTCAGGCATGCAATGCAATCACTCTACCACTGAGCCACCTTCCCAGCCCCTCCTTGAGCTCTTTCATTCAGAGCTAGCACTCTACCACTTTGAGCCACAGCACCACTTCCAGTTTTCTGGTGGTTATTGGAGATCAGAGTCTGTCTCATGGACTTTCCTTCCCAGGCTGGCTTTGAATGGAGATGATCGGATCTCAGCCTCCCGAGTAGCTAGGATTACAGGTGTGCATGTGCCATCAGTGCCCTGCTTTACTTTTTTTATTGCTATCATAAAGGTAATGTCCAGAAGGGTTACAGTTACATGGGTCAGGTAATGAGTACCTTTCTTTTTGGCCCTTCCATCCCTCCCACAAGTTGTATAGTTCATTTTCCATATAATGTCTAGTGAGTACCACTGCTGCATTTGGTTCACCTTTTGTCCCTCCATTTCTGTGCCTCCCCTTATACTCCCAAAGACATATAACTGAACATACAGAAGAAAAAGGAAAGAACACAAAAACAGCAAAAAAGAGAACCTCTTGTTTACATTTCCTGGAGTTCATTTCGAAAAATATTATTTTGTATGATCAGGTGCACACAGCATTGTGCCTTTCTGTTCCTCTCCTAAGGAACCTCTCATTTTTAGTGGAGTTGCCACACAAGGAAGTTAGCATTTCAGTCTTCAAGCCAAGGAAAGCAGCCCTGCGGGTCACACCTTCCTCCTCCTGGAAGCTCCCAGGAATTTGAAGATGCTGAGTCAGCTATGATGACAGAGGGGTAGTTTTCTGCCAGAAGGAGCCAGTGTCTTCAGGAAGGGTAAGATGGGTCAGAGTCAGCCAATCCAGGACAAGGAACCAAAAGAAAGAAATCTGAACCTTGGTCAAATTTCAGAACTGGTATAAATAGGGCTTACCTAGCTGGGGAAGGTCATAGAGAGGGGAAGGTTTGATCGGACAGATTTAGGGAATCTTACCCCAAACAAGCAAGGTGTTCAAAGAAAGAGCCTAAGTCAGATCCAGTTCTAAACAGATGAGGTAGAGATGGGGAGCCACGTTCAACTTTCAGAAGAACTGACTGGTATGTATTATGTGTATTGAAAACCAATCTCTGATTTGTAGGATGACCACATCCTAAACGTTGTTCCCTCTGTGTAACTTTGATCTTCAAAGCAAGAAAGCTTTGATACTGAATTTTGGAGCCCTAGAAAGTTGCATACCAAAGGGAATTTAACAGGCATTTAACCCCGTAAGGCGTATAAGCCATAACTGAGGAAAGATTACACTGCCCTGTTTTGGTTTCTGGTAGGAGAATGGTTCTACGAATTTCTACGCAATCCATTAGCACGGAGGTGACTTTCTTTGCTGAAATGAACGCTGCTCTTTTCTTTGACAGCTGGCCAAATTCCGAAGCCTTCAGTGCAGCAGGGAGGGTGAAGCAGCCGCCTTTCTGTTGAGCAATCACCGTCCACCACAGCCCCTGAAGGGCCGCAGAGTGAGAGCCTCTTTCCATTGACTGTGGGTGCCAGCGAGTTGCTGCAGAAATGGCTGTGGAAAGGCAGCAAACAAAATACAACACAAAAAGCCTTATTAACTCTTCTTTCCTAGGTTTGTAATGATGGATGCCACTTGACTCTGCATCACAAGGCAAATCAGATGTCTTTTAAGTAAACCAAACTAGTTCATCTGTCCCAGATTTGCCCCCATGGTCATTCAGGTGTTCAACAGTATTTGAAGTTTATTAAAACAATACATCTGCTTCAACCTTCATCAACATGTAGCTGACTTTAGGAGCCCCAGGGTGGACTAAAATCTCTACCTTGACAGACTCACTCCACCTCACCTCTCCACAATGTTTGCTGCAAAGCTTAACTTCATTTCCAGAATGATTTGATATAATTTCCAGATTGGGATAACTTTTGCTAAAGAACTGGTTTCTTTTTCATGTTGTGAGACTTGTTCAAATTTATCAGAAGTAGGCATTTCCTTTTAAAGTGGATTTCTTCTACAATTATACTGCTTATTGTCATGAGATAATTTGGATGCGATTCAGAATAGGAGAGTTATGGCGATGTGGAGTAGAGTTGCTTTGTGTATTAACAACTTGTACCATACATCACATTCACTTGGTAGTGTTGATGATGAGCTGTCTAATAAAGTACTGGATAATACCAAATTATAGCATTAACTAACAGACTACACATTACGGACTAAACAAAGCTGCTCATGACTGTGATGAATGGTTGCCTTCTTTTGCCCTGTGTTTTGACAACAAATCAGGGAACAATCCTGTATGGGTCAACTTTTCATCCATTGGTGAAAATAAAAAAAAATTACTTCAGTCTCCTATAAATACACTCTTGTACATAAACCCTTTGTCCTAACTGATTGAATGGCTTAGCTGGCTGTCATCTCAGGAGACAGAGATCTGGAGGATCACCGTTTGAGGCAAACCCCTGCAAAAAGTTATTAAAAGCCCCCATCCTAAGAAATAAGCTCAGAGTCATGGTTCCAGTCACACAAGAGGCTACAGGTAGGAGCATTATAGTCTGAGGCAGGCCCTGGGTAAATGCATAAGACTGTACCTGAAAAATAACAAAAGTGGAAAAAAGAGTTGGGACGATAGCCTGCCAGTGAATGAAAGGACATGCGTTCAAACCCCCACTACTACCTAAATACTCACCCTTTACCACGGCAGATTTCATATTTCTTCAATACATGTTCCTTGGTCTCTTAAGAGAGATTTTACCACGGCAGATTTCATATTTCTTCAATACATGTTCCTTGGTCTCTTAAGAGAGATTTTTTTTGGGGGGGTCCGGTTGTGGGACCTGAACTCTGGGCCTTGGCCCTGTCCCTCAGCTCTTCAGCTCAAGGCTAGCACTCTACCACTTGAGCCACAGCGCCACTTCCAGCTTTTTTCTTTTTGCTTATGTGGTGCTGAGGAA